CAATGATTCTAGAACTTTGACCTAATTCGCATTTTGGTTCCTCAATTTCCAAAATCATTCTCGTGGTCCTTCAATTTCAGTTTCGCTACGAAAAATTGTCCTGCCATCAATTTTGTTAACTTTTTAATGTTAAATTTGAGCATATGCATGGCACATGGTGTACTGTTGAGGGTCAAAATTGAAAACTACTTCACTTCTATGGTACATGGGCAGTTTCTGGAGCACCCAAACCCACACGCACTCCCCACATATATATCTCCCTCCCTCTTTTCCCAAGCCAAGCCCATGAAAATCCACCAACAATCGAGCAATGATATATCTCCCTTCCTCCAATCCAACAAAGCCATGGTCAACCTCCACCTCACCCTGAGCTAATTAACCCACTATCCTGGCAACAACTGATGGCGCTCCCACAACCCACACCCCCGCCTAAACCATACCCACCCTCTCTGCCTCTCACTCTATATCATATCCTCGATTTTGTTGATGAATTTTTTTTTTTTTCTTTTTGAATATTTCATCATGGGGAAAGAGGGGTTGGGACTGGGTGGGATGGTGAGGGTGAGGAAGCCTTGGTGGTTGTTGTGGGTTGTGTGTGTTTAGGTGGGATTGGGTTAAAGAGGTTGTGGCTGCTATGGCGAGGATAAGAATAAATTTTTTTAGTTTTTAGCCTTTATTTTTTATTTTTTGGGTGAAAGGAATATTCAGATGGTGGAAATTAAAAATAATACCAAAAAAAACAAAACCATTTTGCCCCTGCATTTAACCGAAAAGATAACAAAATTGACGGCATGACCATTTGTCTTAATGAAATTGAAGTTGAAGGATCACAGGAATGGTTTTGAAAATTGAAGGACCAAAATACGAATCAGATCAAAGTTCAGGAACCATTAGACCTAAAAATCCTTTTCATTTTGCTTGTCATCATTTCAATTTCAGCAAGTCTATCCTATAGTTTCTTTTGGTTTGCAATCAAGTACAAATCACAAGTTTTGTCAAATTAATTTATGAAATTTATACAAAGGACCGACTAGTGTAGTGGTTTGGAGCAATTGTCCCCTAAGAAAAGTCTTAGGTTCGAGTCATAGCATCCGTGTAGTGTGTGTATGAAAGGAACTAACCCAAATTCCACTTCAGAATCTGAGCCGAACCCTGTGTGTGTCCGACACTTGGCGAATGCCGGGCACAAATGACTAAACTATCCCTCTAACTAAAAACCCAAGTTTTCTACTAGCTAGACTTCTACCGAAAATTTGGCAAAATCTCCCTTGTAAATTGAACATTTCCCAAAAGTTTCCACCTGTCAACAAACATTTATAAATGTATCACAATTGTTCAACATGCACTTAAAGATATTTAAGAAATCAAACAACCTAATACTCTGGCCTCCAGACTCAAAAAGTAGAATAAATCATTCTCTTAACGACACTCAAATCAATTCTTATAACATCCCCAGAACAGTGTTAGATTTCCTAATAACTTAACTAGACTACCTTTTACTACCTAACCTCGTGGCTGCACCTTGTAACCTCAGGCTGCCCATGTACCCTTACTGAGGGATCAAGCCACACGTAATTCTTTCATCTAATTCTGATTCGCCACTTCACTAATACTGTCAATACCCTCCTCGCGGGCCTAGGAGATACTGCTTCTATCCGGGCCGCAACCTTGCACCTCATGACTCAGGAGTCCCCTAAAGGTTCCAAAATGCCTAGGACACATGTCTCGGGAGTTTGGTCTCGATCAGACGGTCGGATTACCCCTGATTGCACAATTAGACAATTACTATAAACCTAGCCCTAGAGTTGGCATTTCTGGAGTAACCGGGACTCCGATTCACAATCCGTCGAATTCTAAACGATCCTGAAATTACCTATATCAATATATCTGAAAATAACTACGATCCGAAAGCTCAAACATAGCTAACCCGAAAATCACACCCTAGGCGAGATCCGTTCAGGGTTCAAATGTTATTCGAATTGGAATCCGCGAGTACCCACACGCTTGTGAGGACCAAGGGATTATTCTAGGACTGAATGTGGTTCCCACCATATTGCCCACGCACCGCCACACGCGCCGGTAGAGCGTGGTTCCTAAAGTGATAATGCTTCGCCGAAAAATCTCCAAATCACGGCTCAATACTCCTACACTAGGTGTAACACCCTATTTGGAATCACTTTTGTTCTTGGACCTACCCCAAAAACTGGCCGGAATCTCAACCCGAAATCCGGCTACACTTTGGATCCAAGATCGAGTTATCTACGCTAGAAATTTCTGAAATCCTACCCAACCAGCAGCTAGGGCTCGAGAAATAAATGAGTTTCCATACCTGGATCACCGGAAATGGTGGCCGGATGACGGAGAACGAACGGCTGGAAATCTCGAGCGAAACCGGCCTATTCTTGGGTTCTTTCCAAGTGGATTCTGGTGGTTTCGACGGCAGAGCTTGACCGGGAAGGGAAGGGGGAGGCTGCCCTGTCCATTTGGGTCCGATCTCGTGGCCAACTGTGGCCTGTGGTGGCGGCGGTGGCTCTTGAAAGCCACCAGCTGAACTGAAAAATGGGGGTGGGGAGGTGTTCTGTCGCACCAGAGAGAGAGAGGGGTTTTAAAAACTGACCTAGCAAATTACCATTTTGCCCCTCAACGTAATTTAATTGTATCTCTCTCGTTACAACTTGGATTTGGGCCCATTACGCGTCTACGGACTCATTTCATCGCGCTATACGCAACAGCATAATCGAAATTCCCAAATTCTTTTCTGGTGTAAAAGTCAACTTTTAACCTAATAAAATATTCCGAGGGTATTCTAGTCATTTCCTTGAATAAAATAATAATTAAGAATTAATTAAGGATCGGGTCATTACAGTATAAGTTTAATATATTATCACCCCTTTCAATAATAAAGGTCCTCCAAAAAAAAAAAAAATTGTTGTAGCAATGTGTGACCACTACATGTTTTGTTCTGCAAAATATTTGCAATCAACCTACATTGTAAGAATATCGTTTTTTTTTTTTTTTTTAACAATATAAGGGTGAAGCCATCAGAATCTACCCTAGTATAAAAGGACCTTGACTTGTAGACCAGTGGTCTTATGTTTGAACCCCATGCACCTTGATATTGTGTGTATGAGAAACCCCTCCTCCCCCTTGTAATTTAGACTATCGCTCTTATTAAAAGAAAATATATAAGGGTTTTAGAACTTTATTGCTAACTAAACAAAACTACAACACTAAAATTGTCCAAATTGAAATGACAGAGACTAAGTGGAAAATGGGTCAAACCACAAGCACAAAAAATGTGATCCTTTTTTCTTGAGCGTTAATAATATACAAACAAGAGCGCTCAAGCACTAACCGATTAGTAAGTTAATAAGGCACTAAGCACTCATTTTTACCCTACTTCACAATCTATCTCACAATCCGAACTGTGTACTTGTTAGATCATTAATGAAAGATAATCCTTGTAAAAATTAATTCAAACCAAAGAATGTTAAGTTTTCTAAAACTTACCACACATTTTTCCTCACTTTACAATCTAGCTCACAAGATGAAGATCTCAACAAACCATACACCGAGATTGTCCACACCTTAACCACCTAAGCACAATACTTGGGTTGGGTTAGGCCTAATGGACACTAGGTGTGTGGTTTTAACTTAAGACCTCGGTGCAATTAGGATTGGAGCACCTATATTTGAACTGCAGATTATTGTTGTATTCTTCGATGTGGGACTTTCACATCATATCTTGTATCGAGCCACTACACCAACAATTTGCTGATATATCATTGGAATATGGAGTTATGATGGGTTTGAAGAATGACAAGTGTTAGCTATAGGTTGTTTGTGTCTTAGTAGATGCAATTGAACTGGCTCTTGATGCCCAAAATCTGTGTTTCATTATATTTTAGTTTCGTATAGCCATGCTTAATTCCATAAATCAAACCAGTTATGACCAAATTTTAAAACAATATAATATGTAATTAAGGGTCTGTTTGATAATCATTTTAGTTTTCAGTTTACACTTTTCAAAAACTAAGAATTGAAAACTTGTTTGGAAACTAATTTTAGTTTTCAAAACAAATTAAAAGTGAAAGTTGAACAAAAGCTGTTGTGTACTTGATTTTAGTTTTCATTTTTCAATTTTATGTGTAACTTGGAAATGAAATTTTTTGGGGTTAAATTGCGAATATGAGATCACGAAATGAAAGTGCATGTTATAAAGAGATCGTACGTAGTATGTTTCGGTGATTTTTTTGGAATTAAGATGATTTTTTGGTGAATTTTGGATTTGGAGTCTCGAGGCTTGGACTGAGTCTGTGACTGAACGCAAGAATTAAGTGGCCAGATCCAAGAGCACCCGCAATGGACTCCCTAAACCACCTCTTTAGATAGAATTTAGGGGGTAAGTGAGAAAACCCACCTCCAACTATGCTCCCTATCCAGCTTCTAAAATAGAGAGACCTTTAGGAGCTCCTAAATATGAGGAGAGAGAATGAACTCTTAATGGCTCCCAATAATTTAATGCTGTCTTATTTAATAAATATTTTAAACTATTGCCCTTTATTATTATTATTATTATTATTATTATTATTATTATATAGAGAAGATGGACCATTTATGTTGAATTAAAAAAGAATTAAAGCATTTATGATTCCTTAAACTAGATTGTAAGATTGAACTTAAAATTTGATAGAGAGCTCCTAAAATAGCGTTTCTGTGCTTTTAGCTAAATTTTAACTAAAAAATGAAGAGAATGATTGTAGATCCTCTAAATAGCAAGAATACTAAGAGAACATCATTGGAAGAGACTAAAAAGGATAAGGACGATGAATAAAAAACTATTTTCAATTCATTCTAATTTAAAGGTTAAAATTTTTGTCAAAACTTGTGTAAACTGCAAAAGATTCCATTCGTATTACATTTACCCAAGGGGAAAAAAACAAATTCATTGTAATTATATCATTCTGAATCTGTATACTTGATTCAATTATTGATGATAGAGCTCCTGGAGATAATATCAACCATGGGATTTACCATCAACGTAACAGATGAGAAAGGAAGGACCCCACTTCATTATGCAGCATCAACTGGTTATCTCGAAGGGGTTCGCTTCTTCTTGGACAAATGTCCCTCTGAATCTAATCAAGCAGATACTAGTGGCTTCCTCCCGATCCATTCTGCATCAAGCAAAGGTCATGACAAGATTGTTGAAGAGCTGCTTCGACATTTTCCAGCTTCGAAGGAATTGCCAAACTCAGATGGCCAAAATATACTCCATCTTGCAGCAAAGTTTGGAAAACATGCCCTCGTTAACTATTTTCTAAGAGAAGGTAATGGGTTTCAGATGTTGATAAACCAACAGGATAAGGAGGGAAATACCCCTTTACATTTGGCAACAATTTATCGGCATCCAAGAGTTGTGAAATATTTCACATGGGACAAAAAGACCAACTTAACGGTTTTGAACAATGAAGGCATGACAGCTCTTGACATTGCAGAGTGCACTATGGAAGCTGTTGCTTCATTTCATGGGGTAAGTCTGCTATATTTGTTTTAGGAAGTAGCCCAGTTCTATTTTATATCATCTGTTTCGTTTTTGTTGACAATGAATATGATTTTTCTGTCCCACCATACAGAGGCTAACATGGGTAGCACTGAAATCTGGCGGTGCGCAGCGAGCTCAGCCTCTGCATGTTCTCTTGCGGACAAATGTGCAGAGTCCACAGCAAGATGATGTAGGAGACAACGATGGACATGTCGCAACTATGAGTCAAGATGTCCGAGATGAAATTATAAATTCTTGTAGAGCAGACCGCATGGAGTTACAGTTTCCTAACAAGGAAAGTTACAAGGACAGGGTGAACACTCTATTGCTGGTAACTACACTTGTAGCTACAGTGACATTTGCAGCTGGTTTCACAATGCCGGGTGGCTACAATAACTCCGGTCCTCACGAGGGCAAAGCAACCTTGCTAACCAAGGTTATGTTCCAAGTAACTCCGGTCCTCACGAGGGCAAAGCAACCTTGCTAACCAATGTTATGTTTGTGATCAGTAACACCATAGCTATGTATAGCTCCATCTTCGTTGCAGTTACTCTCATTTGGGCACAAGTGGGAGACCTAATTTTGGTGTTCACAGCTCTTCGTTTGGTAATGCCTCTGCTGGGGATTGCGCTTGGCATGCTGTCCTTAGCCTTTATGGCTGGCGTTTATGTGGTCGTAAGCAACCTTCGTTGGCTTTCGATCGTGGTGCTGGTCATCGGAATATGCTTTCTTTACAGTGTCTTCATACTTTTCAGCCCACTCTTCTTTCCAAATACAACACCTACTTTTCATTACATCACCTATTATCCCTTTTATTTGGTAGCTCTATTAGCTGCTGGAAGTCACAGCAACGACCTAGAAGAAGAATAATCTCCTCTGTCGAAGCGCTAAGTTGAGAAGCACTAAGTTATTAAGAATTAATAAGAATTATTAACTATATATCGTGTGTTATTTTTTTGGTGTGGGTCATTGTATTTTATAATGTTACTACATTATTAAACTTTGTCGGCTTTCAACCAAATAAAACTTTCTGGGCTAAACGTCTGCCTGTTCTACATTAAGGCTCCTATTTGCATGCATAATTCTAGAATGAACAGGACATGCCCAGATTATGGAAGATTTGGATAAGAAATGAAGGTAGGCAGAGCATAGATGAGTATGCCATGAATATCACTGTTACCAGCGGTCTAGTCATCTATCAACATTCAAGTTTAGCTGGCCTGCAAGTTCACAACTACAGCAAGAAAAAAAAACACAGTATTTTCACCCTGCTAGAAATTTTAGCATACATGACATTCTATGGTGAACATGACTGCGTATGTGGATTCGGAGAGTTGAATGCTAAATGCCATAGAAATCTTGAAGAGAAGAATAAACAGAGAAGGAAAGTAAGCTCTTGGGCTAGTTGAAGCCTAGACGATATGAAATCACTCGCGATGATCTTCAGTTGACCTGAAGAATCATGACAATCCTATGTTATGGCATCCATCTCTGATTGGGTGGCAAAACCAACTTCAAGACTTGGCTTTCAAGGATAACCAAAGAAGGAATAAAAAAGGGAGGAGAATATGCAATTCATGTTTATTCAGTAATATTTTATGTGAGCCTAGTTTTTCATTTATTAGAAAATGCACTAGTGGAGAAGAGTCTTATGCCTGTTTCTAGTATCAAAACTGACAGATTCAACTATGTGATTGCATATTGTGAGGCTCAAACCAATTGTGTGATTTAATAACATTGATCAGAAAATCAAGTGAGCACTGTTAAATTCAAAGCCATAGTATCAATTACCTGACTCCTAAGAAATGAAAGAAGGTTCACTTTCAAGAAACAGGAAAGAAGTGTGGAGACTTAAATGTGAAATTCAAGATAAGAATGTTATCATTAGAGTCATGGCGTTGTACAGGGAATGTATTAAAATGGGTGATCTCAAGTTTCCAGTCCAACAATAAGAGCATCCAAGCACACACCCAATGATGAACAACTGTAAGGAATTCTCACCAGACAAGTGAGCTGCACTAAAAATAGCTGAGCTTATCAAAACTGCTGACTGCCATTTCATAGCGGACGAAATCGACGCTAATAAAAATCCCCTGTAAACAGTTTCTTCCAGCACGGGAGTTACAATGCAATATACAAGGACGCAAGCAGCTTTTGAGATGTTGCTGCTTACCAGGATTTCTTTGAGTACAGGGTTGTTTATAGCCTGCAATGATATGGTGCAAAATAAAATACTTGAAAGAGGAACAGAGTTTCCATAAAATTACTAAATCAATGATATATTTATTTAGAGAAATATAAATGAGCTGTAATAAGAACTTGAGAACAATTTGAAAAGGCAAAAACAATTTATAGGAAACTCTACAACAGCCAGAAAATGAGCCAACTTCTTTGGAAGTTTTTTTTACTTGCATTAAGGACTCAGATGATACACATTGTTGAAGCAACTGCTTAGAGTTAAGGGTTAAATTGCATTGGAACATGTAGATTGAAAAGGGTCAAGAACGACGAAATAAGAGATATACTAAATCAAGAAATCTTTTCTAATTTCAATGCAAGATTGATTTGGGAAATTTCCAGTGAGTTAGATTAGGCCTTTATCCCCTTATTCAATTATTCTTGGGCCCTTTCAAAACATGTTTTACTTGTTGTCTGATGCAGTTGTGAGATCATTTTAACTTAGGTGGAAAATCCTTAATTCCAATTGTAAAAGCCTCTTCTACCGAGCACTATATGATTCTAAACTAGTTAAAATCAAACCACAGCCACTTACTCATAAATAGTGAAATCAAATTAAAATTAATATCAGAAACATTTTATCAAGCACTAAACCATTTTATATTAGCTGCTGTATCATCACAGCAAACCGAGTCATCAGACCATGTAGTTGTCAGTTTGTTCAGTTTTGGCTAGTGAAACCATTGTGAGCCTATCAAGTCAATGAGAATCAGTCCCCTATACAGTTTCATCTCTCAAATTCTCTATGCACTATGAATCATGTGAAATGAAGGATACAACCTCCTTCCTGCAACTCATCATTAATTCCTATGAGATCTCATCCATCATCAGATTGGTTGCATTATTCTCAAAAACCATTTATTTACTATATTTGGATACCTTAATCATTGTACCTTCTATCATTTGTATGACATTATAGACGTATGCTCTAGGGGAAAAAAATAATAATAATAACGTACAGTTCTGAAAAATAAAGCCAATTGTAGAAAAAGGTACTTATCCCAGTTTCTGATTGCCTTTTTTTTCTTCTTGGATGAGAAAGTTCATGAAATATTATAACAAGAGCAGAAAACCATAAGCAGTTAAATTTATCAAGCGAACCTTGGGCCCAACAACACTATCAGCAAGGAAGGAAGTAAGGAAAACCAACATGAATAGAAACCCAAATCCTACAGCTGATGCCAACAGCCAGCTCCTCTCTTCTGATACTTTGTTAGCTTTAAAGAAATCCACAAACTTATATTGTGGCTTAGCAGTGCTCTGCAGAAGAACTAGAGCTGCAATGAGCTCTAAAATTTGAGCTCCAAGCAATGATATTGCCTGCAATATCCAAAAAAGGAAACCAAGATCCGTTATAAGTGTGCAACTTTATTAATGCAAGGCTAAAGTTTGTTCAAATGCTAGACAGTCCATATATGAACTTGCCCAAATTAGGTATCAGTGCAGAACAGAATCCATGAAATCCCATTACTAAGAGAGTTATCTACTGAACTACAGATCTTATGGGCGTGGGAACAATGCTATGCCACGAGATGCTAATTGTTGCTTGTTTCAAATTTCAATTGGTACTTCGAAGATGCTGATGAGATTCCTATCTCTGCATTACAGAACCATGTACTTTCGTAACCATTGTCACGTTTTTGAGTTTTGAATCCTAAGTTTGATGTAAAGAGAGGACTGGATGGGCTACTTGATTATAGGGTGGTTCATTAGCCTCAATTCAAAGCATATGCCAATCCATACACAAGGACAGAAGACAAACAAATCCAAATTCAGCCCCCGAAAAACGACACCTACATTTCAATGTTAAATGATGAAAAGGGAAGTAAGATCGCCCTTCTCGGTAAAGCATTTTGTGTAAGTATCCTCTAACATTTCCCATTCTTCCGAGAATCGAATAGTGTAAAAAGGCATTTTTGCGCCAGGTCGATCATACAAATCAAGAAACAAACTCACCTCTATCTGTGGATCAAGAATGGGTTCACGCAATACATGAGCAACCACAGACAACCCTCCAAAACTCAGAGGAATGTGCAAACTGAACATATAGAAAGCCATAGTGCTCCATAAACTTCCATGGCCCCATGGAGCATCTGCTGCCAAAACCGAGAATCCCTACAATTTAGAATCACAAAGAAGCCCATTTCATTTCATGCTTGGTTCAAGAACAAAAAAAGCCAAAGAACCCAAAAGAATATGGTTGACAGGCCAGTTGTAACAATGAATTCACCATTAACGCATAAAAATCCTCTGAGAAAATATCAGATATATAAAAAAGAGAAGTTCAAAAAGAAAAATGAGCGGAGTTGAACCTGAGAAGAGGCTTCATGGGTGTTTTCAGTTTTGTTACAAAAGCACTTGAAAGAAACTTTGGAGCTTAAGCTGGATTTGGAATTGGTGCAACTGAGAAGAGTATGGGGAGATAGAAAGCAAATTAGTGGTCTGCTAAAATTTCCAAGGGGTTTTTTTGGTGCAAGGTGTAGAGGATGCCACAGTTGCCACTGTAACTGTATCATTCTGTCCCAAAGCAGTGGTTCTGCTCCTCCTCATGTCCAGCCGCTACCCAATCATCGATGGTAAACCACAAGGTCTTAGGCCAAATAGGGGAATTTGCGCTAACGGTTCTTGTCCGTATCCTGCTTTTATTTGCTCAATTAACACAATTAAAATTGCGGTGACATTCGGATCAACTCGTCATGACACCACCCAATTGTCATGACAAAGGACAAAGAGAGACAAGGGCTGATACTATTCATATGAATAGTGGCAGCTCTTGTAAAAGACAAGGTGTGTTTCAACCTATTGTCATGGCAAATGACAAATATTATTCACTTTTAGTTTTTATTTTTATTTTTTATACCTAAATAATTAATTTGGAGAAGATTTTCGGATAAGATTTTGGATTCCCTCGTGTCAATATTTATTATAAAATTCATATCTCAGAATTCAAATGAATTTTTTGGATAAAATTTTCGAATAAGATTCTCGGTTGTCACATGTCGATATTTATTAAAAAAATAAATCTCAAATTTCAGATAAGATTTTAGGATAAGATTCTTGGGTGCCACGTGTCGATATTTATTATAAAATACAAATATCAGATTTCATATAAGATTTTCACCCTTAAAATTGCGACACGTGTCATCTCTATCTTCTAAATTTCTTTATAAAACTAGAGGCTCAATTCATACCTCTCACACCAGATCTTCTCTATCTTTTCATTTCTCATATTTTAGATTTCATACTCCACTCTCAATGTCAGACATGACGAGATGCTTGGATAGGGAAGAGCGAGAAATTAAAGAAAAAAGGTGTAGACGAGTTGAATAAAAAAGGGTGCAATGGGTATGCTTGATCTATCAAGGCAAGGCCGCCACCGTGGTTCATAAGTCGGTTGTGGCTCGAACGTGGACAGACATAGGCATTACTTTATCCCAAATTCTATGTACTCTAATGTTGATTTTTGAGGGCGATATAGAATGCAACCTCATTTGTTCAAAAGTTATGCATGATGTTTGCAATTACGATGCATACTTCGCTCAGAAGTGTGATGTTGTTGGGGTTTTAAGGCTTTTTCCAGAGCAAAAGCTTACAGCTAATATCGAATGTTGGTGTATGGTACATCTGTTGATCAGGTGGATGAGATTGCTAGGATAGGGAAGTCCACTACTCTAGAGAGCTTGGTCAGATTATGTGATCCAATTAAAACTCTCTACACCAGTGACTACCTCCGCAAACCTACGCCTAGGGACCTCCAATGGCTTCCACAGAAAGCCGAAGTTTGAGGTTTTCCAAGCATGATTGGAAGCATCGACTGTATGCATTGGCAATAGAAGAATTGCTCAACTGTCTGGCAAGGAGATTATGGGAATAGGAAAGGGCAAAAAAGTATCATTCTCGAAGCGCTGCTAGATTTGATATATGAG